GCAGGTTTGGGAGAAAACAAATGAGCATAATTAATTAATATACTTGGAATGAAGTGTAACATAGATACATCACTGTTTGTTTACTAAACTGCTTTAAGTGAAAATGTACGTTTTGTGTAGTGTATTGCATTAGCAAATGATAACTATATTGAATCTACTTTTAATTTTGTTGGACAGAATACACCAGAAAGCCCTTTGCTTTTCAACAGTATGTGCACAAATAAGAAAAATTAGGCTTCCACTACTGAAAGTATTCTTTTTCTGTGGTTTTAAAAGACCTCGTGTGGTTTTAAATGCTCAGTTCTATATTTTGTGACTCTTCTGTTTTTATTTATAGATTGGGAGACTAGTTGAACTTTTAACTGTTTTTCCTATGGTTCTCAGACTTGATATTTGATGAAACCATAAGACTGCATTTGATAACCTTCATGGACAAAACAAACTCTTATTCCAACCATTCCCAAAGTGGGTATATTTGGGAAGATTTTTTTTAAATTAAATTTTGCATTAAAATCTTCAGCAGATTTCTGTATGATCCAACTTTAAAACACACTGGGAAGAAAAAAAACGCACTGGAAATACAATGCTGAGGGAGTATGGCTTTTTTTTTTTTTTTTTTTGGTGACCTGGTTGGCAACTTAGTTTTTTTTTTTTTTAAACCTTCTGTAACTGAAAGCTAGCAAAAGACCAAACCTTTGAGCAACTTCCTATTTTTCATGATTGTTACTTGATAAATATATTCTACTTTTTGTGTGGTTGTTTACATGTTCCAGGTCTTGTTTGCTTTTACAAATACTGTATATTTAGGCTTCCAAGTGTCCTCTATCTCCTATCCCTTAGGTTGAAAAACAGAATTGATTAAAGAACTTCATTAAGAAAGCAGATCTATTTCATCTGCTCTAGTAAAATTTTCTGTTTTCTATATTCCCAAGGAGAAGCATCCCAATCTGTAAACAAATATAGAATTTAAGGGTAAATTATTGCTTTATTATTTTGACTGGGGAAAGTAAGACCATATAAGCAATAGCCCTTAGACTTATGTACCACTTCATAATGGTTTACAGCTCTCTCTAAGCAGAGTCAGCATCAGGACCCCATTTTACTGACCTCAGAAGGATCGAACTCCTGGCAGTGAGCAGACTTAGCCTGCAATATTGCATTCTAACCACTGTACCACCACATAACATGAATTATATATTTATGTTGGGATTTAGTAATTATTGTTTCTATCTTCTTCAATTCTCTATTAGGCAAAATCTCAGGAAGTATTTGATGAATGGGTAGCAAAACTGCGTCATCATAGAATGTATCGTCAAAATGAAATTTCCATGTTTCCATATGATATCAACAATCATTTCTTCTCAGCTTCAACATCTATTGCAGATTCAGTAACAGGTCTTTTGGAATCAACAGCAAACAAAAAGGTAGACTTTGTTTTAACTGTAGATTAAGAGGCCTCCATTTAAGGATTAATTTATTAGTTTAATAATTATGTGGAATACAACAAACGTTGATGGTAGGATTTGGGAACATATATAATATGTAGTGCAGAAACCATTATCAAAATGTTATTGGCTTTTTGTGAGTTCCCAGCATTTGATGAAAGACAAAATGTAATTTCCTCTTGTCATTTTTAATTCTGTTTTAATTAGCATAGAGACTGTTGAACAAAGTAGGATTTTGTTTTTAATCAGCATTCTTTTGCAAGGTCATCTATGTCAAGATAAGCAAGCCTGGAGTCTTCCATGTTCTCCTGCTCACTTTAACTGATAATTGGCAGGGAGGGAATAAGGTCACGACCTGACATTTAAGATGCATTGTAGTAGGAATTCTTTTCCCTCTTGAATGTTCTGTGATGACATAGGTGTGCAGGCTACATTGTTGATTTAACAGGTATGTTTATTTATATATTTTGAAGTACTGAATTATCTCTATTTAGAGTTAGGGAAAGGGCCAAAGATACTGGCTCAGTTTCTGTCTTTTAGTATTGATGTCTCTGTTTCTTTTCCTCCCGTTTCATTCTTCTGCCTCCCCTACCAAATAGATTCTGTTCCATGCTGGGTCTCAGTCTAAAGCAGTCTTCTCCAGAATGCTTTAGGGGACTTAGGTCTTCTCCTGAACTAACATGCTGACATAGATGAAAACTGCTCAGCTCTTTGGTATATATGTGTATAGCAAACACTTGTATTTTGAGCATGCAAAGATATTGCACATTTGTTTGTTTGATAACTTCTAAGATTTGAAGGCAATGTTTAGTGAACAATTGTCTTTGTGGTGTAAACCTTCATTCATCCAGTCAGCAGATTAATGCAATATAGAGAGTGTCATACATATAATTTTAATTTTGGGCAAGCTTTTTTTTAATCAACTTTTTAAATATGAATTTAGACCTTGATAGTTGATTTTGAAGTGTCTCTTAATCATAAGTCATACACTGTCCACCATTGGAAAACTGATTATTGTCATATTTATTGTTGTTTATGAAATCTTATCACCATATAACAGAGAGGCAGCATGACACAGCAAAATTCAGTGCAGGCGGGAAATCCTATGTCATTACCTTGTTTAAATGAGTCAAGAATTCCAACTTGTTTGCAGCCATCTGAAGATATGGAAAGATGTTCAAAAGGTAAAAAGAAAGTAGAATGGTTTAAATATTCTACCTCTTCCAAATTTTCTCAGATGTTTTTATGACATTTTCCTGATCTTACAATATCTACTTTCTAATCTTTAAATCAAAAATTTATTCCATGTGATATTGAAATAAATACTGCTGGTACCTGCTTGAAGAATTTAAGTAATTAGCTTAAAGAAAAATTGAGCAATTGTGCAAGATGAGGAGGCCTTAGGAAGAAACATATATTTCATTGTGTTCTTTCTGTATGAGAGTACAAAAGTCCTTTGTGTAAATTGGACTTTCTTGGAAGTATTAATGAAATATCATTCCTTATCTTTGTAGAATAGTCCTATTCTGCCTTGCTTGGAGCTGCTGTAATTGGTTCACAGGAAATCAAACTTGTAAAATATAATGTGAAATCTATTTCCTTAGAGGGGAAAATACAAGAGTGTCCTTACCACTTTTCAAACAAAATGTTCTTACTTCTTAGGAAACAAAACTGTAATATTGGAACAGGATCATCCTTTATTAAGCTTTTCTGTCCCTAACAATATATAATAATCCTATTATCTTTTCCCCAGGTGTTGATGAGTCACAGGTGCAGGATACCTTGCACTCTCTTTTCTCATTAGCAGTTTAGACTAGGAAATATTCTTCTTTATATATTAAATGGGGATATGGGGAAGGGGACCTTAATTATTTAGGAAGTATTAAATGAAGGATTAGGGGGGTTACAACAATTCAAATAAACCTTTTGTTTTATGTGTACATCTTTTTTATTTTGTTCAGCTATGCCCAATTATCAGATTTATTCAGTACTTATTTCCTAGGGAAGTTATAGTATACATTACATTAAATATTATATTTTTGTAACAGAATGCTAATAAACATACTTTTACTGATAATTCTGATCCAGAAAAAGCTTGGTGAAACTGTGTTGTTCATTTACATTGGGATTTAGTAACAATTCTTTCTAACATCTCCCTTTTTTTCTAGAGAGCTTAATAAATGGGTAGCAGAGCTATGCCACCTCAGAATCGCTTTGCAATACAATAGGTCCAGAAAAAGCTACTTACAACCCATTTTAGAAGTTTTGACATCTGGTCCTCCCACATGCACATGGCTGCCTTTGGGTACTCAACAACTGGCCCACCTTATTACTGTGATTTACATTTCCCCCCCAGAAACCATTTAATTCCAGTTATTTACAACTTCCACATTTGCTTTACAACTGCCATGTTCACTTAACCATCGGGGGGGGGGGGGGGGGGGG